GGTCTGATGTGTGTGCACGTGCTTCTTCCTCTCCTTGGGGTGAACAGGAACACAGGCGGTGTGATCATGTTTATTTTCAAAAAGGGGGTTTCCAATGCAGTCTAAAACCAACATACACCCCCAAATCTGAACCGGAACATCGGTTGTCAGGGCCCCCTTAAGTGCGGGCGCCATCTGTAGGCCAGGAGCGGAAGCGAGAGAAAAAGTCACTTTGCAAGACAAGCTCGCTTCGCTGCGATTCGAACCCCTGACGTGACCTCTAGAGGGTTTCGAGGATACCAACTAAATAGACCACCGGGGCGACCGGCTCATTGGAACGATGAAATCACCACGAAACGAGATGCGAAAACCCAGGTCGGGTACCTAGTTCATGACGACGATACATGTTCGTTGATGGATAACTTCAATGTAGTCACCAGATCCCATGTTTTCGCGTCGTTTGTGACGGTGCTATGTGGTCGCCCCAACGAAAGCAAAGGTGTGTTCGGTAGCGCACGGGTACGCTCTGCAGGGTATGGAGGGCTGTACCGAGCGTACCGAAATTTTGGGTAGGGTTGTTGTTGTTGTTGTTTCTCACATTAGCCCTATAGTCCACAAAAAATGGGGAGCCCGTGGTCTCAAAACCCGGCAATACGACGTCGCGGGGAAACAAAACAAAAATGGGGTACAAACCACTCGGAACAAGAAAACAAAATGATAGGAAGAAAAGAAGAGATATCGCACCGACCGTTCGAGAAAAGAGCCCTCGGAAACCGATCAATATAAAACAAAAACAAATATAGAGGAGCACGCTTCCCACACCCGCCCGAAGAAAAAATCAAAGGGTAACGTACCAGCACCAGGCACTACGCACCAGGGCATGGAAGTAACGGAGCAAACAGGACAAAGAGGTGGCAGATGGGCAGACAGCCAGACGTACAAAAACAAAGGCAACAGCAAAGCGAGATCAAGGTACCCAACACAGCAGAGTAGGCAGGGAGGTCATGGAAACAAGAAACACAGCACAGAGGCCGAAGGCAATAGGGTATGGAGGGTTGTACCGAGAGTACCGAGATTTTTGGTAAGGTATGTAGGGTTGTACCGATATCCCTACCGAAATCTTGGTATTTTTTTTCGAAGACCGAAATTTTGGGTAGGGTTGTTTTGTTGTTGTTGTTTCTCACATTAGCCCTATAGTCCACAAAAAATTGTGAGTCCGTGGTCTCAAAACCCGGCACATACGACGCCGCGGGAAACAAAACAAAAGTAGGGTACAAACCACTCGGACAAAGAAAACAAAATGATAGGAAGAAAAGAAGAGGTATCGCACCGACCGTTCGAGAAAAGAGCCCTCGGAAACCGCTCAAAATAACACAAAAACAAAAATAAAGGAGGAGGACGCTTCCCACACCCGCCCGAAGAAAAAATCAAAGGGTAACGTACCAGCACCAGGCACTACGCACCAGGGCATGGGAGTAACGGAGCAAACAGGACAAAGAGGCGGCAGATGGGCAGACAGCCAGACGTACAAAAACAAAGGCAACAGCAAAGCGAGATCACGGTACCCAACACAGCAGAGTAGGCAGGGAGGTCATGAAAAATAAGAAACACAGAAACACAGCACAGAGGCCGAAGGCAATACAAAGGACATACATAAAGGAGTATAGCATACAGCAGGGAGGGAAACAGGGCGCAACCGCATCAGCCGGGTACATAGTTCGCCACACGTGCTGCCTCGGCCGCCCTACTCGCTTCTACAGCAGTGCCCGGTCGCCGTTTCTTCCCCCCCACCGCCGCTTCCCCGGCTCTCTTTCTCTTCGGTCCTGAGGCCGTACTCTCTGCTTCTGCTTCCCTCGCGCGCTGGCGCTTCGCGGACGCTTCCGCCTCCTGCTTGTGCCATTTCCTCATGAACCATGCCGCCCCGTCCTCGACCTTGTTGTTACCACACCTCCGGGTCCTTGGCGCTCTCTTTCCATTTCCCCCCTTCCTTTTCGTCTCCCATGTTGAAGGCCACGAGGTCCTCTCCTAGACGAGACACCCAGTCGCTCTCCTGCCCGCCCCGGTATCCCACGCCC